ATTAAAATCATCTCCATTCTCCAACGATGTTTTTCTGTCCCATCCTGTTCGTTTCATTTCCACTTCCGAGACCAGCTATCTTGTGTACTTCCTAGTCCCTTTGGAACACCAATAACACTGCAGTGCCAAATGAAATTGGCAGTGATTTTGGCTTGTGGTCTGAATTCTGACTTTGAAGGTGAAATCTACAATTGGCCCAGTGAAAATTCTCAAATATTTCAGCAGTCATTTTGCAGTCTGGACAGTTTAGTGAGTGTGTTTTGTAAAGTGTAACTGTTACACAAGTGTTTTTTTTGCATTTTCTGCCCTGGGACACTGATTAGTTGGGTAACAGTGAATGTGACTTTGTTTGAGAGTTTTTTGAATTGAGTCATGGAAGAATTTCCTCCTCCAGATAAAATATTTGTGATGTTTAATTACATTCTGTATGTGTGGCCACACAGCTTTTAAAAGAATTGAGCTTTGAAAGCTTTTTGTTGCAACAGGAATCACAAGCTGCTCAAATCACATGTCCCTAACAACTTTGTCTTGTTGAAATCCAGTGCATAACATCACCTGTGTTTTTGAATTTTTTTTTTTAACTTGGTTAACTTTCTGCCTCTAATGGTCTTTCCATTGCAACATTTTACATAATTCCTTAGTGCTGGCAGCCTCTTTCCTTTAGAGGGGAACAAGAGATGCAGGTAGTGGGGTGAAATTAGTAGGATTTACACAAGATTAATCTTGGCACAAGCTAACTTGAAGTCTTGGGGGTTTCACAACATGGAGATAGAAATGATGCTTTGTGTCCGGCCATGCTTTTTGTTAGAGGGCCAAAATTTACAGAAGTAGGTGATGTAGCCTCTTGTGTTCCTCTATTCATTTCTGAGATTATAGCTGATCTGTGACCTATCTCCAGATTTGTTTTTCCCCACTCCCTCTTTCCACTGACATGTCTCATCCACTAGTTATTAACTTGTTTCACGACAGTTGAGTTGGAAATCCCCACCTCCTTGTGAAGGAAGTTAGGAAACACTTAAAATTTGAACTAAAATTCTTAGGATTGCTTCCAGTCCTAGGCTGCCCAACCACTCAATAGGTAGAAAGCACAAATCATAGGCCCTCAAATGTCAAATGCAAGTGAATGCAACCTTAGCTGGTTTAAACTAGACTTCTAGATTAGAATCTCCACCATGTGGAAGCAGGCCTTTCAGCCCATTGAGTCCACACTGACCCTCAGCATCCTACTCCGACCTGTCCCTCTACACTATCCCTCGAACTCAGCACCTACCTGGGTGAATCCACCCAGCCTGCACACTGGACTGTGGAATGAAACGGGAGAACCAGAGGAAACCCATGCAGACATGGGGAGAATTGGCAAACTCCATGCAATCAAAAATTGAAGGCTGGAATTGAAACGGAGTTCCTGGTGCTATGAAGCAGCAAGGCTAAACGCTAAGCTACCATGCCACCCTCTTGGTGAACTTTCATAAGATTTAATTTGTGAGCACTTTCTGTTTTTTTTTTTTAATTTGCTGCACACAAGGCCATCTAACATGGAGCCCAGAGCTGCTGAGTACTCCAGGCACTTTTTTTTATATTTAGGCTTTGAAATGCAATAACACAACTAATGGGTTACAGGTTGTGCCTTAAATGACTAACTATGGGAGAGAATTTGAATCTGTTATTTTGGATATGTTTTGGAATTCTGAGGGTTAATGGTAAACTATGGCTCGGTCATCAGTTTGTCTTTGTCTTCACTGCTTGGTAAGTAAATAACATTATAGAAGTATGCAAAGTGTGTGCTAACTTGAGAAATAACTTCTGTGGCCATGAGCCATTAATGTTTCTGTTCAAGCCATGATTGATGGCGAATGTCTTGTGCTTAGCCCAAACCAACTGGGTTTCTGCTCCAGATGGATTTTGCCTTGCATCATCTAATCATAATGAAGTACATCATCTATTGGAAGTCTTCCAGATCATGACAAAAGCTTTCTAGTTGTGTGCAGTCAGCAATTCCTGCTGTTTTCTTTAAAATAAATTGTGTTTAAGGCCCATGTCACTGCTGATCTCTTGGGCTTCAGTTGAACAGGAAATGCAATTTGTTAATTGCTTTTTGTTTAGTCTTATAATTAAGTTGGGCTGTTTGATGCAACTTGTACTAAAATCAGTATATGAAATAGCTCTTTCTGTGCTGGAGAGCCTTCAAGATAAAACAAAACGTGCACACGTGTGCTGCAGACCACATCAGCCCCTCTGCTCCACCATTCAAGAACATCAGAGCTGGTCTTGGTTCCATGTTCCTGCCAATATTTGTAGGCTTACCTTCTGTCATGTGCTACCCTGTTTCAGGTGTTGAGGATACATTTTGGAAGGTATCTTTTATTTTAAGACACATCCAGTTGTTTATTGCATAATTTTATATCCTGTATTACTTTTTTGTTTGTCCCATCTCAGATGATTGTAACATGGCATATCTTTACTGTTCTACACTTTTTTATTTGTCTTGTTCCATATGCGCAGGAGAAGGTCAGTCAAGCCTGCCCTACCATTTGAGATTGATAGTTTTTAATTTGAAACCTCACCTACCCTGAAACCTTCACCCTTCAGCTTCTCAAGTCTGTCCATCTTGGCCTTAAATATTTAGTTGCACCACTTGTTTTTTCTTTAGAATTCCAAAGAAGCATGATCACAAGTGAATTTCACCTTCGCTTGTTTTAAATAGGTGACCTTTTTGAAAATGTAGCTCTAGATTTGCCCATCAACATGCTCTCCACATCTGCCCTGTGAAGATTCCTCCAATCTTAAATGTAGTAAGTCCCAATTGCCTTAACTTTGAGAATTTTCCTTTTGCCTTGATCGAGATGATGGCTGTTAAAGTGCTGACTGGCTGGCTGCTAAATCTTTATATTCTATCTGTGTCAACCAGCTTGCTTTATTCCGTTCTATAAGGTTATGTAGCTGATCAGTTCAAAAAGCAAAGCAAGTTTGTGCATGCGCTCCAACTTCTCCCTATTAGAATGCACAGACTACATGGTGCATAAAACACTAAATAATTTTTAGTGGTGTAGTTCTGCTAGGTGGGTTGACTTGAGTGAATCTAGGTTGAGCTCTGGTTCTTCTGACTTCAGCATTGCGGAGGTTTAAAACATAGACTTGCTTTCTCTGTTCTGTTGGTCCTGGGTTGAACTAAGATCTGTGCTGCAATGAACAGAGCAGCATTTTTAAACTTGCAGGATGGATTGAGAGGATAGAAGCCCACACAGGTCTTGCCACTAAATGCTGTTTGGTACTCTGGCCTGGAGAACTTTTTTGGGCTTGTCAAGTGGATCGCGAACCAGCAATCCAGACATAGCCATGGCTAATTTGTGGACAGCTGCCAAGCCAATATTACCTTTGATAAAGATGGGTGTTAAACAGCTAACTGGCAGTGAGATGAACTTTGGTATTAATGTGGGGAAGAGGAATAAACAAAACTTGTTTCCAATGCATTGTTTTAGCATAGTGTTCTATGTACTGCATAAATACTAAACCAGATCTGGGGTGAAGGGTAGGATAGCCAGGTGGAGAAAAGGTACGGAGTCAGTATATGATGCTTCAGAATAAAAGTATGTGCCACTTTAATAGCAGTTTGCTGTTCATGATGTGGCTTATGTAGTCTGTAACCATAGAACCCAGACCGTGATCAAGTGACATCTTGGCAATGTGAATGGTTAATGTTAATCAACTTCAATAGGTCTGCTACAAGGGCTAATGTAAGAAGCATTCAGGACATGTACTGGTAGTGGTGTTATCCAGAAACCACAAGTTGTTTTCAAAAACAAACACTTGTAGTATTATGGTCCCAGCTGATGTTACTAATAGATCCAAAATTGAAACCTGGCTAGATCTGTTCATTTTGTTACTTAATGTTTGTGATTTAACCACAATATTCACAAGGCTGCATATTCTTAAAACAGCAGAAGTTTATACACCAGAAATAAACACAAACGAGCCATCTAAGTATAGTTAGAATGATATTGAAACACAGCAAAACAGTTCTCAACCCCATTCAAATACTTACACTCTGAAATTTAAGACTCTATCTTGAAGCTTCTATTTGTCTGACTCCTTTGAGTTTCTTTGCCATGGACAGTAGAGATAATGGAATTCTTCAAGTTTCAGTGTGAACTTGATATGATTGACCCTAAAATTTCTGTGCTGTAATAATTTGGATTTCTAACTCAAATCATGATTCGGAAGATCTATAAACTAAGCCCTTCTGTAGTAACTATTCCTAGGAAGAGTTTCTAGGACAGAATAAACTTGCATTCTGAACTCTACTGTGAACTGAGTTGAAACTTGGTCGATCTGAGATTCTGCAGAAGTGAAACAAAAGCTAATGTTGTTTAACCTGCCTAGTGTAAATCCCAGTAAAAACACCCTTGCAGATCCTGACCTACAAGTAGTTTTTAAGAAAAAAGCAGGTGACCCCACTCCTATGACTGCATTGTCTCTACTCCCAATTGTATTGATCTTGTTTTTTTTAAAAAAACTTTGAAGGTGTCATTTTACAATTGAGAAATTTAAACATGTTGCAAGTAAAACTGTCCCACAGATTGACTCAAGACTAAATGGAAGCAGTATGGGTGTGGGCCATTTGCCAAACTTGAGGTTTGTTAGTCTTTAGTCACGGAAGTGCAACCATTCCTTGAGCATTAACCCAACTGAGTAAAATATTGCTAATAGACAACTTATTGAAATGTCCAGTACTCTGACAAAATAAATCTTGTGCTGTATATGCGCTTCAAGTCAGATGCTGTTTGTATATGTGGTTGAACTGGTCAAGCAGTCCCAATTTTTCACTTCATAGTTGTCTGAATTTACACTTTTCCCCATTCTCCCTTCTCTTTTTGCCTTAATTCCAGTTTTAAGTGCTGTTCATAATACTATGCTCTATGCCTTGTTTGAGCCCAAAACCAAAGATCTAGCGAAGTTGACTTTGTGTACGTGTGACTCTGTTTGTATTACTGTCTTTTCAGATGACCTAGTTGATGAGTACCGTCCGGGCAAGATTCGAGGTGGCAGCAGCTATGAAAAAATGCTGACGAGAGAAGAATTGGAGGAAGAACAACGGTATGTTCACCAAATTGTGATTTGAGCTCCACTTGGTTTTAAGTTGTGCATGTTTTCTTTGTCCTAACTCCTCCCCCCAGCCAGTTTTGCTGCTTCTAATATAAGCACTGTTATAAACCTATCTGCCTTTTATGTCACTTAAAACTCTACGCAATCAGGATGAGTATTTGAAGTCTTTCTTTGTGGAACTAATGCATGTTTAAGTTTGTCCATGACACTTGGGCAACACCTGCCAAACTCTCAATCAAAAGGATATCTCCAGAACATTTTGACAGGACCTATAGCTTGTGGATATAATGTAACCTGAGTTTTACATGTGAAGACTCCAATGTTGAATTTTCTTAAGGCCTCAATCCAAACAGATCACATCCACTCACTCCTTTGTCTATCTAACTTGTTACTCCCTCAAAACTCAAAGATTTGTCAGACATGACCTCTTGATGAAGCTGTGCTGACTCAGTTGTGTTGTACCATGCACTACTAAATACATTACAATCTTGTCCTTAATGGACTCAAATATTACTCAAATATCAGGCAAATCTGCCCATAATTTCCTGTCTTTGCCTCCATCCCCTTAAGCAGGCTGTTAGATGAGCCATTTCCAGCCCTTCTAGATGCTCCATGACTCCAGTGATTCCTGAAAGATCACCACCAAAGCCTCAGCAATTTTCTTTGTTACCTCCTCCAGAACCCTGGAGTGTAATCCTTCTGGTCCAGGTGATTTATCTGCCTTCACCTTTTCAGCTGTCCGAGCATGTTGTCCTTGGTGATGGCCGCTATACTAAACGCTGCCCCTGATTTTGTTACTTTTCGAAGTTCTGGTATGCTGCTGGTGTCTTCAGCTTTGAAAATTGGTATAAAGTACCTATTCAGTTCATCGACCATTTTCTTCGTTCCTTACTGGTAGTACTACTACTCCAGTCTCCTTTTTTCCAGTGGTCCACTGTCTACTTATTGCCTGCGCCTCTGTTTTTCAAATGTCTCAAACTCTCTCTTGCAGTCTCTTTTATGTTATGGTGCACAAATTGTATCCCTTCGCCCACCCCTCTTTTATTGCTCTTTTGTCCTCTGGTTTTTCCAAGCTCCCCAATCCTTTTGGCTTCCCACCAATCTCCACCACATGGCATGTTTGCTGTTGTGCTGTCCCTGACTTGTCAGTTATGATTGCCATTGCCTCTGCCTCTCTTCCTCTTCCTCCCCTCAGTATGTTTCTTCCTTGGGATGAATTTCTATGTCTCCTGCATTACCCCCATAACTCCATTGCTGCTCCACCATCTTCTCTACTAGGTTCTCCTTCCAATCAACTCTGGTCAGCTCCTCCCTCGCATCTTTGTAGTTACCTTGTACTCGGTTGTAATACTGTTACAATTGAGTTCTAAAAGTGGATGCTTTAAGTAATCTTCAGTTTTGTACTGGATCAAATGTAAAATATTTGTTTTAACCACCTGTGTACCGAATAGATTGTTACAGGCTTATTTAGCTGTTCGTTCCATAAGTTTTGAACAACTGAATGCAACAGTGATTGGCTTGATCTATAATTGACACTCCAGTTTCTCTAATCATGCAAACTAGTGGGTCCTCCAGTAAGAAGCTGAAGGGAACAAAATATTTCAGTTGGAGGCTAATGAATATAGCCAATTCCTTCCCATTATTGATCATGGTAGAGTTGTTTTAGGTTGTGGTTAATGGAACTTCAGATTTTATCCAAAGGAGAGGGAAAGTCTACAAAAAAAAACTTATGAAGCAGAATTTTCATGACCAAAGGAGTGCTTGTTTTCTTGTGATTTTTTTTTTCATTTCTCCAATTCTGTTTTGACTTGCACTTAAACCCTTGTGAAACAAAAGTTTCAGATTATCTTAATTTTCAGCTCACTTGACAGTTCAGCAGTGTTTTCATTAATATATACAGAGTGTACCAAACTTGTGCTGAATCGATCAGTTTTTTGGAAGTTTTTACTTCAGAGATTTTAGGTTGTAGCTGCTACATTTGGTACATTCTGATGCCAGATAATTTGACCCAACTTCCATTTTATACCAGATCTGCTTGTTAACTGTAAGTGATACAAGATTCAATCATTCTGTTGGCACACTGACATGTGGTAGATAAGCACAAGGATATTTTGTTTATATGCAGAGCCTTGGGTGAGCTTAGTGGTTTTTAGACTCTTCACTGTTATTGTAAGTGAAGAATATCTCTAGCACCTGCTGAAAAGATCATAAATGAGGATTTTAACATGAAGCTGTTTCTTGAGCATGTGCACATCCTTGGTTGATTTCTGTAAGACTGTCTTGGTGACTCAGGACAGCAATGCTTTAACACTTTGACTTGACTTGGTGTGCACTCATTTTAACTACATAACTCCATTTCAGATGCTATGCTGATTTTTGTCCCAAATAGTGGCATTCAATGCTTTGCAAGTGTTAAAATGTATCAAGGTTTTACATGATTGTATGTATGATAAGTAATAAATAGTGTCTGTTATGGAGTTTGTGTTGGGAAACAAAATTGGCTGAGTTTAATCTGCTAACATGGGCACAATTTTTGTTTGGAAGACTTTGCAAGGCTTTTTTCTTCAGAGCTAGTTGATTGTTCAATTCCTAGCCAGCATTGAATTTAGAATGTGTGGTGTTTTCAGTGCCTAACCTTGAGGCATTCCTTCTCATCTTACCTCTGTCTCCATGACAACCTACCTTTTTAACCTACACATGTCTGTTCCTACCCTTGATGTTTTCTGTCTTGACCTAATTGCTATTCATTCTGTTATCTTGAATCCCTACCTTGACGTTCATGGAGAACTACAGTACCTTGAGTGATCCTTGAGAACCTGGACGTAACTTTTAAAACTTTCTTCATCATTTTAAGGATGTTTTTTGGGCAAGGTCTCTTTGCCAATTCTGAACTTGGTTGACAGCTAGAGTCAGTCATGTGGCACAGAAGCAGGCCCTTCTGTCCAACTGGTCCATGCCAAACATAATCACAATTTAAACCAGTCCCACCTTTCCTGCTCCTGTCCCATATCCTTCTAAACCTTTTTTCCTATTCATGTACTCACTGAAATGTTTTTAAAAATTGATTGCACCCACATCCACCTTCCTACGGAAGTTCATGCCACATGAACCACCTTTTTGTTTTAACAAAAATTGCCCCTCGTGTCATCTTTTTAAATCTTTCTCCTTGGAAATATGTCCCTAGTCTAGAAACTCCCCTATCCTATAAAGACAGGTACCATTAACCCTATCTATACTCATGATTTTATAAATATCTATAGGTCTCCTCTTAACCCCAGAGGGGTTATTTTGTGATCACCTGAAGGATGCAGTAAAGTGAAGAAGTCTGTCACTGTTTGCTTGGATGCCCCTCTTAAATTTTTATATCCATGATCTGGCAGTTGTACCTCTCCCTCCAGACTACTTTCCTATCCACTTCAATGAGCATCCACTTAAGATTTTTGACTTGCTGTTTCTGATTTAAATTAACAATTTTATTCTGCACTAGATTCTCTATGTACCTAACAGCATGATCTCTCCTTTTAAAAGATCCAGTTCACTTAATGGACCAGTGAGCAACCTATTTAGGCTATTGACTTGTAATATACTTGGCCCTTTGGTATTTGACTGAGTTGTGGATTGTTTCAAATTCCATCATTGTGTCCATAATCTCAAAAGTACATGCCTTCAATTTGCTTTCTCTGGCTGCATTTCTTAACAAGTGCCCAGCCCACTTTTGGTTTTACAGATACTGGATCATGATCCAGTCTGGCATAAGACATATCTAAACCCATAATGTCAGAATCTGAACAGTTGCTTTCATTTTGGGGGTGTGGGAAATGCTGGCAGAACAGCTGTAAAAATTCTTAGCATCGAAATGATCAATGCAACCTACAATAATGCTTCACTGCAGTCCACAAGATCTGCGTAACCTGAAGGCTGTTCTGATATATAAACCTGGTCCACAGTGTAGATTGAGATTCTGGAATAATTTCTTCTCCCCTGCCCTCCCCACCCCACCCAAAACATTTGTCTTTGCTTATCTCACCTCCAGTTTTAGTGAAATTAACAGTCAAGCTAAATGAACAGTCTGTATTACTTGCCAGAGAATAGTTGGGTAGATTTGTAACCAGGAAGCTGCAGTTAGTATTCAGGAATTGGCAAAATTCTAATAGAAATGGTTTAGAATTGCATTACCTTGTTCTGATGTTTTCAATGCAAACATTGTATTTGGCAGCTAGCCTTATTTATTGTTATAGCAGGTGTGAAGTGAGATGTTAACCAACATCTCTAATTTTGCAAATGGCAGTGTGGAGAAGACCTGCCATGTGGTGAGCGTAGTTGATTTGGCAAAGTGAAATGGGGTTGAAAGATTCTGTTTAAAAATTTGAGAACATTTTCTGTTCTCCCACAGATGTAGTGGGAGAAAGATACACTCGAAGCTTGTTCGTTCATATCACTTAAGCTTCCATTATTTAGAAAGTTGGTGAATAGGTTAGTTGTGTTCATAGGCTATGTTGCATTGACTTTTCTGCAACTGTCCTGACACTGACAGTACAGAAGCTGTAACATTATGAAAGAGACTTTGAGCTTTGAGTCAAAATGTATGGAATTAGCCTTTGTTCGTGAACCATTTCTTCAAATGATCTTTTTGGAAGATTATTAAACCCAAGACAGTAACAGTTTGTAAAACCTAGCTTAAGAATTTTTAAAGTCCATGCATTGTTTCTTACAGACTTTGCTATCTAAGTTAATCTAAATATTAATGGTGTGATTAGTTCATATAGTGCCAGTTCTCCCAAAATTCCAGCAAAATCCATTGAACGATTGGCAGAGAAAATCATGTGGTCCAATATCTGGCATTAGGATCTCTCCACTTAAGAAATCGAAGTAATGAGTGTCACAGGATAAATGATGGCTAGACATTTCACTGCTGGAAATTGTAGACAATCTGGAATAGTCCTGATTTTTAACCTTCTGAAAACCTTCTGACAAAATACTGTGGAAGTGCC